GCTCGGGTCGCTGCTCGCCGGTCCTGGGGCTCGGACTCCACGCTCTGCGGTTCGTTCCCCCGGGCTCTGGAGGTGTTCGGTCGAGTTTGGGCTGGGGGGCTGGGCCAGAGGGGCTCGGAGGAGATGAGAGCCCGGCCTCGGCGGCCTTCGTCTTGCAGGTAACGGGGCCGCCCCACCTCCCCTCCTCCCGGGTGCGCGGCGCCACCCGCAGCCCTGCCATTCCACAGGCGGCGTTGCCCAGCAGGGCGTCCTGAGGTCCCAGGCCCGGGCGGCATGTACCCACCCAGGGCCAGGTCCCCGGCCCCTCTCCCGGCAGTCCACCCGGACCGCCCCTACCCTTCTTAGTTTGATCCTTCCCGTGCTAGGGAAAGCGACTTGTTTATTGGTTAGATAAGACTTTGGGGGTTTTTTCCCCCTTGGGGGAAAAAAAAGAGCTTTGAGGTCAGTGGAGTTCGGGATTCTTGGCACAGGCAGTAGTAGCGTGAGACCGCTTCTGATCTGGTTTTGTAGGGTTCGCGACTCAGGGAGGCGGGGTAGAGGTAAGGGAGCGACGGGTTCTGAGGCTTCTCAGCTGTTTTGCAAAGTTCCAAGACCAGTCTCATCTGAGTGATTTGCTTTCTGGTTTTGGGAGCGGGTAAGACAGAGGTGTAGCCTGAGACGGATTCTTGGCGTGTGTGTGTGTGGGGGGGGGCGGCAACATTTGCATCTGGGACGGGAGAAGGTGCCTACTGAATCTGGAAGTGTGGGAGCCCCATTCCGTCTATGTTGGGCGGGCTTCTTTTGGGCTGGGATCTTCTATATTTTTAAGGAGTGGAAGGGGGAGCGCACTGGAGGGGGCGGATGGGAGGAATGGGAACCAGATGCCGGGGAAGGGCACGTTTGGAGCTCCAGTTATCTGTGCAGAGTTGAGCGGGGAAATTTTAACCGAAATTGACATCACCTGCACACAGCCCGACTGCTGGGAGTGTGCCTCCTAGGAGTTGATGCTCTCGGAGGGGGTGGGGGCGGACTGGGCTGCCCCTATGTGCGTGCGCTAGGGCTGAGCCTAGCCGGTATTTGGAAAGTTGTGTCCTACACCTCCCTTGTTGTCCTCTCCGCCCCCGCCCTTCCATCTCACCTTCTCCGCCCCTCCCCAGCTCCACCACCCCTGAAAAAGAGTGAGAGAAGCTCAGATTTCGCCTTTGAAAAAGCAGCTTCGGATACTTGAGATGAGCACCTCACGGATAGCGGGGTTGCTTGATTTGAATTTGAGGAGTTGAAAAGCCTGTTTACTTTCTTGCTTTGATGTTGGGTAGATCTGGTTTTGATTAGATCAATACCCTTTTCTCTCTCCCCACCTCCCCCCTTCCTTTTCTTCCCAGAGAGGAGGCTCAGATGAGCCCCTGCTGACTTGAGAGAGAGAAAGAGAGAGACCACGAGGATTGCTGAGAGGAACTGGAAGAAAAAAAATCCCAACTCAGTAGAAGAGCTTCCTCACTATGAGTAGCGCTGTGTTGGTGACTCGCCTCCCGGATCCCAGCAGCAGCTTCCGCGAGGATGCCCCTCGGCCCCCGGTTCCAGGGGAAGAAGGGGAGACCCCACCCTGCCAGCTGGGGATGGGCAAGGGCCAGGCCGCTAAACTCGTGCCTGTCGCCTCAAACACCAGGCGAAATGAAGATGGATTGGGGGAGCCCGAGGGGCGGGCATCCCCGGATTCTCCTCTGACTAGATGGACCAAGTCCCTGCACTGCTTGTTGGGCGACCAAGACGGTGCTTACCTCTTTCGGACTTTCCTGGAGAGGGAGAAATGTGTGGATACTTTAGACTTCTGGTTTGCCTGCAATGGATTCAGGCAGATGAACCTTAAGGATACCAAAACTTTGAGAGTAGCCAAAGCAATCTACAAGAGGTACATTGAGAACAACAGCATTGTCTCCAAGCAACTGAAACCTGCCACCAAGACCTACATAAGAGATGGCATCAAGAAGCAACAGATTGACTCCATCATGTTTGACCAGGCACAGACTGAGATCCAGTCGGTGATGGAGGAAAATGCCTACCAGATGTTTTTGACTTCTGATATATACCTCGAATATGTGAGGAGTGGGGGAGAGAACACAGCTTACATGAGTAATGCTGGACTCGGGAGCCTAAAGGTCTTGTGTGGCTACCTCCCCACCTTGAATGAAGAAGAGGAATGGACTTGTGCTGACTTCAAGTGCAAACTTTCACCCACTGTGGTTGGCTTGTCCAGCAAAACCCTGAGGGCCACAGCGAGTGTGCGGTCCACAGAGACTGTTGAAAATGGATACAGGTAAGACTTTGGAAGAGGTGGGTGGGGGCGGGGCTTGCAGGCTGATCTGGACTTTACAGATGTTTTGAATTAAGTTGGATGGATGGATGGATGGATGGATGGATGGATGGATGTGCTGCAGAGGCTGACAAAGGTCTGTTGAGATCTAGGACCGCTGGCCAGAACCCTTTGATCTTGGTTTTGTTGTTTAAGGGGGTGGGTGGAGATGATGCAGGCACAGCTAAATACTGAAGTCTTCCAGTGCTGACTTCAAACAGTAGCAGGCAGTATTCATTAATGTGGGTTACTTATTATCCTGGGCTAGAGCCTCAGAAGGGGTTGAGAGAGAGAGAGAGAAAGAGAGACAGAGAGAGGACAGCAGCTTTTGATGCCTCTGAGTCACCAGACCCACTAAGCACCGGTTTGGGAAGGGGTCATTCCACCACTAATCAGCAGAGGGGAATTAACATGGCTAGGGAGGAAGCTGGGTTGTGGTGGAGGCACAGGAAATAATGTGTGCACCCATCGAGGGGTAAATGGGATCCTTTGAACTTTTTTATGTTAAGATAAGAGCCAGCATTTGGCTTAATGACCAAACTTGTGGTTCTCTTTGTAGATATTTACCCCAACACAACCCCTTCTAACCCTGGGAAGGTCCCTTAGCTTTGGACTCTGCTGGTTTATGAATTGAAGTTTTTCAATGCCTAGAGCCGGAGAGTCAAGACCTCAGTTGATTTTGTTGCTTAGTGCTGATGGAGAAGAGACCTTGGTCCAGGAGGACTGGGCCCTAGAATATTTTCTCCTTTTGAGGCTTCAAAGACAAAATCCTTTGCAGAATGGCCAATTCTTAAGATTCTCAATCTTTGCAGGCAACTTAAGATCTCCTTTAAGGTTGAGTTTTTCTGTTTCCTTGCCTTTTCCCACTTCCTAATATCTGACAAGAGAATGCACTTCTTGGTCCTAGGTTGTTGCTTATGACATGCAAGGGAAGAGGTGGGGCCGAACTTGATTGCCATCTAAATGGCTTATTTTGCTTTCCCTGTAGATCTTAATGTTATGGACCCTGGTCTGCTAGGTAGCTGCCTGGAGGTTTTCCCCTCTCTGAAGGGTGTGGCCTCCATTGTCCAGTACTGGAGGAGAGGGCAGGCACCTGATAGTATATCTTCAGCCTCTCAGGTTGGGGTCCCTAGGTTTGAGCCTAGCAGGCTATGATTAGATGCAGCCAAGGGCATTGACGGTTTGTGAGAGACAATGGCAGGCTCATTCTCTGTCCACCAGGGGGCGCCCTCACAGCCTTGGCAGCCAGTTTACCAATGCTCAGACATCTGGTCTATACCTAAATTGAACAGGATTGGCTTTTGCAAGGAAGTACAGGAACACATGAAGGAGTTCTTTTTTTTAAAATTTTTTTTAGTTGTAGATAAACACACAGTATCTTTATTTGTTTTTTTTTATGTGGTGCTGAGGATCAAACCCAGTGCCTGAGCTACACAGCCCCAGCCCCACATGAAGGAGTTCTTTTAGCACCTCTAAGCTTAGGGAGTCAGGTTGTTTTGGAAGATTGTTTCTGGCCCCTGAAGTAGAGAAGTCACTGAACACCTGCCACTGTGCGCTGCTCCATCATGGTGACATGGGTAAACCTCTTCTGCTGGCCTCCTTGCCCTCCCACTCACCTGTGGTCAGAGCTGAGATGCCTGAAGGCCTGTGACAAGGCTGCTTTCCCAGAGGCCTTCTGACAGTGGAGCTTCTGTGTCTCAACCTGATTGTCACCTTTGCAAATAGCACAGTGTGGTTTTCGATGCCAGCAGGAGGAGAGCACTCTTCTCCTTGTGCATGGGCAGGAGAGAGCCTGGTTTGCTTTTCCCCCTCTCTGAGGCTTCTTCTGGGGTATTTCCAGCACCGAATTTGAGATTGCTCATGAGCAGCTGTTGAGGTCCCAAGACAGGACAGAAGATCCTTTTTTCAGTGCTGCCTTCTTGGTTGTAAACTGGGGACACCCTTGATGGATAGAGGATGGCTGTTCATTGGCTGAGCGTCCTCCTACTAGATTCATGTGTGATCTTCCCACTGTTGGGTTGGAATGAAGCATTTCCCCTGGACTATATGCAGCCTGTCTGTCTTCCCTGAGCATTGTCAGAGAATTTAAGAATACCCACATGATCTAATTTCATTTTAACATGCAAGATATTTGAGTGTGGGTACAGTCCCACCAAGGGAGATGCTTTCCCCAAGTCCCCCCGCAGCCTCTGTTCACAGCCTTTCTCTGCTTGTTCAGAAAGCACGAGGTGCAGGGATGCACGGGAGGCTGACCATTCTCATCAAGTCTTTGCTGAAAGTGTATTGGGAGTTATCCTGACCCTTGGTTCCATCCCTGTTCATCTTTCTGAAACTAATATTGAAGACTTTGAACCTATTGTGCCCATCTGTAAAACGGGTTGGCATGATCCTTCTGTCATAGTCATAGGGCTGTTCTCAGGATCAAAATAATAAACACAAAAGCCCTTTGTAAAGGGAAGCATTTTGAAAAGATATAAAGTGTTATAATTGGTATAATTAACCGTAATTGGGGATGTGAAAAGGGCACCGAGTTGGCATATCACTTTTAAAGAGTAGCTCTTAGGTTTTGGCCCATTTTTCCTTGTGAGGTTTTGTAGGTTCCCCTTCCCAGGCCTCAGTGCTTGCTGCTTGTTGGACTTGCTCAAGCGCGTCTCTCCAGCCAGTTCCTGTGCTGCAGGCATCCACTGACTCTTGGTGCTAAGCCCACCCCTGCATCCACTTGCTCATCGTGCAGAGTGCCTGGCACACAGGAGGGGCATAGGAAGTTACTTCTGTAAACTAAATGAAACAGAACAGGAGCCCTGCCGAGGGTCTCTGGTCAACTGTCGAGAGTCTTGGCAGCCAGATGCCCAGGGCACTGGCCAGCCTTCCAAGCCCTGTGTTTACCTTGGGCACTCAAAGGAGCCTCATTTTTAATGACTTGTTTGCGTCCTTACTGATTTGGTGTCAGGTTTAATATAAATAGTTGGGACGGAAGAGCAGGAATTATCCTCAGAGGGAAGGGCTCTGGTTTGCTAGTGGTTGAGTGGGATGCTGAGGCTTTTGATGGTCTCTATAAATAACTGAGCACAAAAGTGACCTGTTGGTAGAAGCACGTGTAAAACCCCAGCACACAAACACACAGTGTCGGGGTGTGGGCTGAGGGGACTGCGGGTGTGGGCTCTCGGCCCAGCATTTATTTTGGGCAGGGGATACAGTGTAGGGTGCACAGAGCATTGCTTCCCTTTCTGCCCGGGCCCCAGGCAGGGCTCATCTGCCTTGGATTGGGCCCTCTGCTCTGGCCTCACTTAAAATCCACTGGGCCCAGCAGATGGCCCTCTGCTGGCTCCAAGTGCTTCCTGTTCTCTGAAAGAACTCGCTGATGAGGCCCGTTTTTGTGTGAAGCCATTGGAATCAATCTTGGCTTCAGTTATCAAAGAAAATGATGCCATTGGAAAGATATGCAGGAAGCAGTAGTCAGCAGTCAGAGGATGAAGCTCGGTGAAGGCCTTTGGCTAAGATACACTTGTCAAACTCTGCCTGGTTCCAAAAGGCACTGACCCCTCACTGCACACCCCTTGATCTTGCCTTCAAAAATGCTGTTGAAGAGGGTGTTGCCTTTTGGGCAGGGACTTTGTAAGTATATTGTCAGAGACTCTTGGAAGCCTTAGCACCGGCTTGGAAGCAAGTCGGCTTTAAGTCACATTGCTGTAAAGGGCCCTGTAAGGAGGCCCTGAGGATGGTTCTGTGGGCTCTCTGTAGGGAGCCTCTGTTCCGGGCTGTGGGGAGGGGCCGCGCAGAGCATCTCATCATCTTGTGGAGATGAGAGAAGAGTGGGCTAGCCACAAACACTCACATCCGCTGAGCTCCCAGGAGCCTCTGCTCTCTGACAGCTGAAACCCCTCTGCATACTGAAGTGGCAGAGGAAGGCTGTGGACGCACGCCCGGTGCAAAGAGCATACCCATATGTGCCCCAGGCCTCTGCGCTCCATAGGAATGTAAAGTCCTTGCAGCAACTGGAAGCCCAGGAAGAAGGAATCAAAGCATCTGGGTGCAATTACTGTAGCATGGTCGAGTTTTTTTTTTTCCCTCTTTTTTTAAGTAATCACAAGAAAACAGCTCTAATCTGCTTTCTTAAAATTAAGTGGTGCTTTTGAGAAAGTTCTGGGCACTTCAGAATTGAGTTTCCGTCTCCCCACAACCTTACCTCCTTCCTCTGCTTCATCTTGTTATGACTGCAGGGAAATCCAAGTACTTTATTGCAGTCAACTGAGTTGAGAGCAGTATATTCCAGTTTTAATTACTGGCCACACAGTAGCCCTCTATTTTAGAAGTGGAGGGAGCCGAGTTTATTTTGGGATCCAAGTGTGAAAGAATGGGCGGGACTCTGCGCACATGGGGTTTGAGTTAGGTGTCTTTTTTTTGCTGGGGAGGAAGGAATTTCTATTGAGTCATTTTCTCCCTGTGGAGGCAGAAATATAAGTCTTACATCTGAGGCCTCGTTGATGTGTTAATGCCACCAAGATAGCAGGACCGAGGGATGGAGAGTGTTTGAGTGCTGTTTACGGCTGCTCAGTTTCTCTGATCTTGCTCTGTTCCTCTTTTCAAACTTTTTAGCAATCTGTTTGGATCTGGGTCTTTGAAGAAGGCTTAACCAAGTTTTGAGCTGCCACGTGCCACCAGCTACTTTTGGTGTTGGAGACACGTGGCAAACAGGGCTGAACCCCTCATGAAGTGCTCAGCCTGGTACATGAGACAGACATTGGACAGGAAAGGGGCCAGCGCTCTGTTGAGCTAAGTCATGGTAAATCCTGTGGGAGAGGTCCGTAGCACTTTTGAGGACAGTGGTTTTGGCTGGTGGTTGGCTCTTTTGGAGTGTGACTGTGACACCTCCAATCACAGTGTCCTCGCCTGGCCTGTCCGTGTGGGAGAGCATAGCATAGGTGGCCACATTTGACCTGCTCACTTCTCAGGTGGATGCCCCCCAACGTGGGAGGCTGTTCCTGGGTCCATCTGGCCAGTCCCACTCTCTGACTTCTGGTCTCTGTCAAGAGTGTGCAGAACCTACCTACAAAGAGGTAATCTTGTTCACCTGCTGTGAGGCAGGGCCCCACCTGCGAGCCCTGGAGAGCTGAAACTGGGGCAGTTTGGACCTGGGTGGTTCTTTGGCCTCCCCTCATCCACTCCTGCCCACAGCTCTCTGAACGGGGAGAAGTCCTTTCCCCTCTCTGACTGTGAAGCCCGTTTCCTCCGGTTCTGCCTTGGGTGAGGGTGAGCTGGGAGCATCCTCCGCTTGAGTTCCTCATGGGCTGGGACGGTGCTTTCCCCAAGTCCCCCCGGGCCTGTGTCCACAGCCTTTCTCTGCTTGTTCAGAAAGCATGGGGTGCAGGGGTGCACGGGAGACTGACCATTCTCATTGAGTCTTTGCTGAAAGTCCCAGGAGGTGGCAAGACTTTTAGCCTCTACAGTTAGGTGGACAGGGCCAGTGTCCTTGGGGCAGTTCAGTCACAAAAGTATGCAGCATGTTTGCACCTTCTGGTTAATTCCATGCCTGTGTCGCACCTCTAAGGTCTGGCTTTCTGCTCCATCCTAGTGCCTTAGAACAAGGTCAGGTCCCAGCTGACGTTCAGCCGCTCCAACCAAGTCTCCAGTGGGGTGGCCTTGATAAGGTACTTGGCCCATTTAAGGCTTGGGGACCTCCTTGGGTGGTTTTGAGGATTTGAAAACCCCAGCTGTTAACCTGCTGTGTGCCAGCCCTGTTCTTGGTACTGGGGAGTAGTGACAAAGACCCTGTCCCCTCAGGAGCATGCCTAGTGGTTGGTTGGTCAGTGGTGTTCCTGGTCATTAACGTTTCTGAACTGAGGGCGGCAGGTGAGCTTGGAGCTTCGCTCCAGTGTTTCTGCGGGGGTAGCTCTTGGCACACGCAGCTGGCAGGCTCTCCTGCTTTCTTTTCCATCCCACTGCCCCCTGCTGCCCTTCCACCAAATGTGGCAACAGCTTCCCACGAGGCTCGTGGCTCGCACTCGCCCCTCCTTCTAGTCCCACCTGGTGGCAAACCCTGGGCCCCACATCCTGCTGTCTCTCCTCTACCCCGTGCCTGCTGCCCCCAGCCTTAGGGCCCCTCCCCGTCCCAGTCAGACAGACACTGGCCCTGCACCTAGGGCCTCCTTCCTTGTCCTGCACCCTGCTCTCTGGTCGGGGGAAAGCTTTCCTGTCCTTCAGTCCTGGGTGTCTTTTCCTTGGGTTCCTGCTCATTCATCATGATGTACCTCATTTCCACCCATCCCAGGGAGCTGTCCCCAACCATCCCTGCTAGAAGCTTCCTGTCTGTCATTTGGGCCACCTGATGTCATGTATCAGGTTGCTCATGTCCTGCCTTGTATTCTAGAACTTTCCAAAAGGTTGAGACTGTATTTGTGTTAAGAGGCAGAAAGAAAGATTCATTGAGAGCTGGATGAACCAGCGCCGTGCCGGCCAGCTCCGGCTCTGGCCAGGGCACCACCGAGGGCCTTGGATATAAAATGGGCACAGCACAGCTCTCCGTCCCCAGGGCAGTGTGTGTCATCTTTGTGCCCCTGATAACACTAGGCCTGCCTCCCTCCTGATACCCCCCACGTGATGGTGAGGAGACCAGAACCTGGGGACTGCGAATACCCAGAGCCCAGCAGGGTGCTGGACACACATGAGTAGGAGCTTGGTGAGCACCTGTTGGTGACTCCCTTGACTTCTCACGGACCCCTCTTCTTGCTAGCCCCAAGGCTGTCTTTGTGGACTGTCTTCTGTGGCCTGATAGAATGTGTTCTGAAGGGGAAGCCTTCCTTTCTCCTCCAGTTGAGTTCTTTGCTGCTGCCTTGCCCTTGCGGGGCGTGGTAGGGTCTCGGTACACTAGGCTTGAAGGGACTTTAGGAAGGGTCCCTTCCCGCAGCCTGTTGACCTACCTCCCTTCCCCCACTGAACTCCCTGGCTGGTGACACAAGAGGAATGCAGCCCAGCAGGAGAGGGGCACACTGGTTGTTCTGGGAGGAGATCAAGAGAGAGCAATGGGGACCCAGAGGCCACTGAGACAAAGGGGTTGGAGATCCCTGGAGGAGGGGCCTGGGCCTGCTTTTAAAACAGCTGTGCTGCTCATTTCAGTCCCGCTGGCCTCCGCCAGCCTGGATGGGGGGAGGGGCCGGACAGAGGCCCAGCACAGGGGCCAAGGGAGCCCTAACATTGTCCTCAAGTCTTCTGCCCCATCCGTCTGGCCTGCTGTGGAACCAGGATCAAAGCCAGAGAGCCCATCAGGCCCCCAGTTGTTCACATGTCCAGGGCTAACCAACCGGGCAGGGAGGGAGGGAGGGAGGGAGGGAGGGAGGATGCTTCGGATGTTTGGGGCCTGGCATTGCACTGTTTTGGCCAGGCTCAGTATGGAGAGGGGGGAGAAAGACACCTGTATCCACTGACTTGTTCCCCTCTGTTATCACAGTCTCCTAGAGCAGAGCAGAGTCTATGCCTTCTTTGCAGGTGTGTATTTAGGACTCTGTAGGACCCCCTGGACTTCTCGGGAGTACTGTGCTCTGGCAGACACCTACTGACAGGGGAGGGGGGGGACCCAGCCTGCATCTCCCCAGGGTGACTCACTGGCTGATGGGCCTCCCTTTTGTGGCCCACCTGGACCTGGGCAGCAGGAGGCATGGAACAGGTGTGGGATTGTGTATTCACCTGATGACCTGGGTTTCCACTGACCATCAGTGGCCACACTCTGACTGTGCTTTTCCACAGGTCCCTCAAGAGGAGCGACCCTGTCAATCCATATCACATGGGTTCCGGCTGTGTCTTTGCACCAGCCACCAGCGCTAATGACAGCGAGATTTCCAGTGACGCGCTGACAGATGATTCCATGTCCTTGACGGACAGCAGTGTGTGAGTACCTGGCCACTCCCCCTGTTTCCTCTCCTCCTCCCCTGGCTTGGCATTCCCATCTGTGTGAGTGTGGACCTTGGTTCCATGCAGGGGAGTGTGACAGTGGCTCTGGTTGAGGGGAGTGACATGGTTGTTGGGTGGCATTAAGCTGTGAGCTTTCAAAGGGAAGTTGAGGTGGCACCTTAGCAGAAGGTCAAGATGAGCATTCCGGGAGTTTCAAAACCTGCCTTCTGGTTCTCCCTATGGGAGCAGTTGGCCTTGACTGGGCTTGAAATGCAGGTTCAAAACATCAGGTGGGACACAGGAGGAGCTGCAAGGGTTCATTGTATTTTTGAGGAAAAGGCATCCAAGCAGGGTGGTTCAGAAAGCCAGGTATCTCCTGAAGGGACACCGTGTGTGCAGTGCCCACACAGAGATGTTCCAGTGGACGTTGTTCAGTCCAGTAAATGTTGGTGGAGGCTGGACTGTAGAATCTGGAGATTCTGAATAGAGGTTTCCTCAAAGTGGGACCTGAGTTTGGGTCATTTGCAGGTGGATGATTTGATTTTTTTTTTTTAATTTTAAGTAATCCAAGTCACTGAGGTGGTCTGATGGGATCAGAAGCTCATCTGGTGAGGTCCTGCTTTGAGTTTGAGGCCATTTGAAGTTAAGCTGTAGTTCTCTTGATGGAGAGCAGTTCTCCATGGGTCTTGTAGGGGTGTATGGGAGCGGGGGTCCCCATTTCCTGCCATCTTTTGAGGTTTTGATTCAGGAGACTCAGGTGGACCCTGGGCATGGGTGCAGTTCCCCAAAGGTTCTTTATCCAACATTGAGTTGAGAATCACCATTCCAAAAATGGTCTCTGAGGCTTTTCAACAAATGTTCTGGAGCCAGAACTTTGCCTGCTAAGGAAACAGTTTTTTTTTTTTTTTTTT